CTTCACAGTCAGGGTGGCTAGCATCTGGAACCAACTTCCAAGGGAAGTGGTGCTGGCTCCTACCCTGGGGGTCTTTAAGAAGAGGCTTGATGCCTACCTGGCTGGAGTCATTTGAGCCCAGTTTTTCTCCTGCCCAGGCAGGGGGTCAGACTTGAAGATCTACAAGGTCCCTTCCAACCCTACTTCTATGATTCTATGATTTTATGAAATCCCAACAGTTGCCAGTGCACTTGGCAGCCGTGCACTGCGATGCTAGAAAAGAACACCTCACTTGAGCTTTCCATGCCATTTGGTCCAAACAGATGGCTTCAGGTGGTTTTGGAGAACCTGTCAATAAGTGTTGCTGTGACCACGTGCTCCATGAATGGACAAGGAATGGTTCCATGGAATCTCAAAACAGGATGAGCCATACCTGTCCAAACAATGGCTGAGTGCAGAATTTTCTGGGCAAAAGGCAACAATGTGCATTTCCACTGCATGCTCTGCCTTTTGCTCTCAGGATTATATTGATGGACTGAGGTCTCATTCCCCATGAAAATGTGCAAGAGAAACCCCTCACCTTCATCCCATACATGAAGCTGGGTATACATTTCCACCCATCATCATTTATGCATATCTGTCAGTTGCTTTGTCATTCAGTGGGCCCACCTTTTCCAGTAATGTAGGTGATCATGCAAAATGGCATGAATACTGTCAGCATTTACACCTACTTCTCCTTCTAGTTCAGGATTCCTCATTCACCTGTTCACATGCACAGTGGAGTCATCCTTGGCAATTTGTCTTCTGTCACAGTTGTGTTGGAGCTTCCTACCTGCAATTCGCCCATTAGGGATGAGTGATCATTTTTTAACTTCTCTACACACTCACAGACCTTCCACTGAACCATACAGTTCTCACCATATTGTGCCACAAACCTATGGTGAATTTTACTTGGCAGCACACTGGTCTTTGGTGCACACTTACAGCTGCATGGGCATGTTGTTTATGTGCTCACTAGCATCATAAGTGGGTTGAGTATGAAATAATGGGTGCATTCAACAATGCTGCTATCTGTTCCTCCCTACTGTGTAGCTTCCCACTTTGTTGCAGACATATAGCATTGATATCCATTTGCCACCGAAACACCAAAATCTCTCAAGGCACTTATATGTCACCATAGTAAAAGAATTGTTAACATTGACTCCAGCAGCTATTGAAGAAAACTACATTCTGGCCATATCTACATGAGAAGTTTACTGCAGAGTTGACTAATTAGTTCTACAGTAAACATCTCAGTGTCTATACGTGCAGGGCAATTAGGCTGGAATAAACTAAGCAACCTCCCAGTTGGAATAAACTAATCAACTACTTCTGAGTTTTTTACTCCACAGCAGCACATGTGTAGACAGTGACACAGCTGGCTAAGGCACAAGGGTTCAAATGGGACATGTGGGAGCAATAAACTCTAGAGCAATAAGCTCCAGAGCGTATTGCTTCACATAAATTGCATGTGTAGACATACCCTAAGAGTAGCTAATTCTCTATGTTGATATCTTACACAGTGTGTGAGAAGCAAACAAGGAATAATAAAAAAGGATCCTCTGTCAATGTGTCGATGCACACACACATATCCAGAAAATAACCATACGATGGAAAATGTTCATAGTTGTCTGATAGGAAGCATACAGGCAAATTCTAGTCACCAATATTCTGTACATTAAACTACTTCACCTAAAATCTGCATGCATATAAGCATCCGTTTGTTTTTAGTAACAAAGTATGGGAAACCAGAAGAATCCTCTAGTCTTTTATTCATAATCCCAATCATACTTTCTTCACTTTAAAACATAAGATAAGAATTCAAAATACTGAGCCCTCACATACACAGAAGAAAATGTTATCCATACCAGGTTGGCTGATTTTGACCAACTTAGAATGTTATATTTGTAATACTCCTTATATTTGTGCAATATAAGCAACATAGTATAATACCTTAATTTCTAAATCCAGCTTTTTCTGTAGCTCTTCAATTTTCCTCTCCAGTTCTGTTTTTTGTTCCAACAATGCTTTTATTTCAGCTGAAGAATCAGAAACCTGCAATTAAAATAGACATGTTTAAGATGAAAATCCAAGATAGGTCTTAAAGGGAAGTCAGAAAACAGTAATATGAAAACAGACTTATAAATAAACAATAAAATAAATGTAGCAATAAATTCAGTTATGTGAGCTAACAAGATACAGTTTGGGCAGTTTTTAAATGGTTCAAGACAACCTAATATTTTCAAAGAAACTAGGATGCAACTCTTGTACAACTTCTTACTATTTCTCAAGCTATATTGCTGTTAGCATAAGCAATATCTCAAAGTAACCAAAAGAGTGTTGTAGTGACCTCAAAATATGAAACCAATATATTAAGCAAACAAATTAAGTCACGAATACTTGGGTTCAAATTTTGCTGAGATAACTTTCTGTGTAGACATTTCTAAGGACAGAATTTAGTTTTTCTATTTTTAACAAATTATTCACTTGTGTTTTAAATTTCATTTTACTCCCATGTAATCTAAAATATAATAAATGGTACATAAGCATCTATAGTCTTTCAATACTTCTCTGAGAACAAAAAGACATTTTTCCACCTTCTACTATTATTAAAAACAGCTGATCTTTTACAAGACAGAAGTAACATTTTAATAGACAGACTGGTAAATTGTGTTCCTACAATATTGCTTTTAAATAATAACCAATTCAACTACGCACACAAACACCACTCTCCTAACAGACACATCTGTTCACATAATAATAATTAGAGGATATTCAGCAATCTTTTTAATAGCTAAAAATAGCAACTTTTCCTTAAGTCCAATTATCTTTCAATGTATATATAATAATAGCAGGAATTATTTTTAAGAGTTCATCTCCATCTCCTTTCTCATCCCCTACACAGCCACAGCTTCAGCCACAGCCCCTGGAAAATATGCATGATATGAAAGTACCTGCCAACAGAGTTTTATGCCAATGTGTTATCACAAAGTTATTCCAACACGCCAATTCCTAAATTTCAATCTTCCAAATACAGGAACAAGATGCACTTTGGGATGACCACTACTCTTATACTTAAAAAAAAAAAAAAAAAAAATACATTACAAAGCTTTCACAAGGATCCCAAACCAGCAGAGCACATAAGCATGTGTTTAATCTTAAGGAGTGGACTATTAAACTAAATTAAGATATTTACATATTTAAAAGTTATACACATGCTTACGTGCTTTGCCAGATTAGATTATAACAGAAACCCAAATTAAATTACTTTGTGTACCTTAACTAACTTTGCTACTGTATACTTTCCTCACAACCTGACACTTTTTGCAAAACCAATGGCAGTTCTATATCTGAGCATAACTATGAAACAAACAAAAATTATTTAAATTGGCTATTTACCTGCGAATTTCCAGCAGCTCTTGACTTTAAAGTCTGGATTTTCTCAAAAACTAAGTTGACCTTCCTCTTTGTAGCATCATCATTGTCAGTGCTCCTGAAACGAGCACACAACAGAAATGAGCAATGTAATGAATTACTTGCAGTGGATCCATAGCCTTTGCGGCACTACTGCCTGAACGCATGCACACTCACTTTTTGTAGCACCTTAATGGCATATATAGTTCTACAAAAGGAATGTCCAAGACCTTAAGTCTCAGATGCTGTGGTCTGGAATCCTCCGTGAACTTGCATGCCACAGGAGCTGTGTATTCTTTGTCTAAATGGACCCTGAGCCATGATTTTATTTTTAAAGGAAAAAAAAATCATATAGCAGCCAAATCCTGATAAGATGGGAACTGGAAAATCCCATACGACATTATGGGACACTCTGGAGGAACAGAATAATAAAGTACAGTAATTAAACCCAGTCATTTTTAAATCAATCTCTAGGTCTTTGTATACAGTCTAATTTTAATAGCACTTAATTTATAACTTCTTATAGATGAGTCAATCATGCAGCCATGCAATACAAGCTGGTGTTTTATTTAGGTAGCATTCCAAGCAGCAACCAACTCTGCATCGTAAGTCAAAGACTTCTGCAATTTTTTAATCACACAGAACTCTTATTTATAGCAGTTTTAGAAGTTGTATTTAAAGTAATTGTATTCTTAACATGACTGTGTAACTGTATATTGTAATATAATTTGTATTGTACAGTCACATTAAAAAATAAATTTTCCACTGTAATTTACAGGGACTAGTGATCTGCTACCAATTATTTTCTGAGTATAATAATATTCTATGTGTAGTAGTATACAAGACAGATAGTCATAGACTGCTATGGTAGTCAAGGATCTAAACATATAGGACAGGGGTTGGCAACACCCCACACATGTGCCAGAGCATAGCATGCAAAGGTATTTTGCTTGGCACATGGACTTCAAGGCAGACAGTGGGGAAGGGTCCGAGACTGCGCTGCCACAACAAGGCTTGGGCCCCTCACAGCTCCCCCGATGTCTGCCCAGAGGGACATGTGCACCCACCACTGGCAACAAGTCAGGATGGGGCTCTGCAGACCCCAGTGCAGTTGCTTGCAGTCTCCCTGCTGTCTGCCACAAGCAGCCCAGGGTCCATGGCAGGCACCAGGGGCCTGCCTAGTGCCTAGAGCCCAGGCTGGCTGTGGCAGGCATCTAGGAAGCTGCAGTGGGTACATGCATACCTGGGGTGGATGGCAGGGGAAATGCTAAGGGCTCAATCTTTGTTGTGGCAGTGTAGCCCTCACCCGCTTCCCACTGTCTGCCCCTAGGTGCATGCGCATCTGCTGCCAGCAATGAGCTGGGCTAGTGCTCCGTGGACCTTGCTGCAGCCACTTGCAGCCTCCTGGCTGCCTGCACAGCTGGCCTGGGCTCTGGGCAGCCCCCTGCCCCCCACCACAGAGCCTGGGCTGCTCATAGCAGGTGGCAGAAAGGCTACAAGCAGCTGCTTCGGGATCTGTGGAGCCCCCAGCCAAGTTCATTGCTGGTGGGTGGTGAATGTGCACCTCAGGGCAGACAGCAGGGAAAGGGCACAGGCTGCGCTGCCACAACAAAGATCTGGCCTGTCATGGCTCTTCCACCATCTGCTCCTGGTATGCCATCAATTTCCAAGTAGAGGTTGTGGGTGTTTTTGGCACTACCCAAGAATGTTGCCGACCCCTGATAGAGGAAATCTCAAGTATAGACTTAATATGACCAGACAGGCAATGTCTATCTCTTCCTTCCCCCAACAGTAATATAAAACAACAACAACTTAAAGAGTACCATTGCCATTAAAACAAATTAATAAACTTTACTAACCCTTCCTTAAGGTAATTGTAAAGGATCTGCTTAGCTGTTTCTTCATTTGTTTGCTGTGCAAGTTCTTGTTGGCCCTTTAATAGATCAGGAGTTGCCTAAAAATACAAGGCTGGATATAAACATGTAGTCTCTTGCAAGGATTTAACAAGATGTTTGCTTTTGTTCTGACATTCTCAATTCTACTCTATTACCAGGAAAGAAGTGTATTATGAGTATGGCTCAAAGTTCAATAAAATCAATAGAAATTTTAAGGTTACAGCAAAGAGGCGGCATACAACTCAGCAAAAGGGGAGATACCGCTTCCTTAAAATATGCACTTTTGGGACTTTCCCTTTATATAATTATTTGTCCTATACTACATTTTGGGCTATGTCACAGCACCATCAAAGGATACATGGTGCTTTTCAGTAGGGAAAGTGTTGCCATCTGCTGTCTCCACCACATCCTGGTGGATGCTGCAGCTGCTTTGTCTGCAACTGCTTATTCATCAGATTTACCCCTGCTTATTTCACAGCTAACCTTCCCTGAAAGTTGCTCCTCTATCCACCACCTGTGCACGTGCTGGGTAGCAGTACAATGACCACAGAAGACAGAAAAGTGGGAGTGGTAGAAACAGCATGTTGCAGACCAAATTAAGAATCTGGAGCGACCCACTGTGCATGGAAACATGTTCCCAAATTGCAAAAGTCTGTCAATCCTGAATTGGCCTAGTCAGTCATCTTTGGACCCACAAATAAGACACTCATCCTCAACTGCAAGGGACTGCTGAAGAAGAAAATATTTGGGCATCATTACCACAATTTTTAACAATAATGCTCAAAAGCATCACTGTTAAATCCCTCCGTCAAACAGGTATATGATACTGGTCTTTTATATGTGCCTTCTATAATATTAGCTAGAGGAAAAAATGTTCATATTTACAGTTACTGAGCTCAGTCTTACATATTCATCCACTGGCCAAGCTCCTTTTGTACAAAACTGGACTATGATCTAATTAGAAACTGCAGGATTTGACACAGAAAATATGCGTTTGGTATGGTGTACAATGTGAGTTTCAACTTATCACAGTGCAGGTAAATGGAAAGCTAACATGCTACAGACTGAAAATTACCTGTGTACCAGAAGCAGAAGAAAATGTTTTTACTGAAATTTTCTTTGATCCTGCATCAAGGGGAGTTGTAAATCGGTTTGGCAATAGTAGAGTAGAAGCTACTGTTTTATCTTCCTCTTTTTTATTCTGTCCTGGAAGTGTGGATGACCTAATAGTTAAATTCTCTCCAGTCACTTTAGTTTGTTTATGATGCTGCAAAGAACTGAACTGGCTGTTTCGAATATTATTACCACTTGCTTGCAATTTTCCAACAGTTCGAGCAACAGCTTGTACCTCAGTTGAAGAAAACTTTCGGTCTTGAGACAACTGCTTATGAAGACAAACTTTAGATGGTTTTAACAAGTGTTCAGTTGATTTACCCAAGTTTTTACTGTATTCATCAAAGTAATCTGAATTTACTTCCAGGCCTAAAGGCAGAGCACTGTCAACACTTCTTGATCTTTTACGATCATCTGGGTTAATTCTGTTCCTTTTTCCTGACCTACCACTTCTCTGAGAACCAACTTTCTTATCAAACTTTTCAATTAATTGATCTACTCCAGGAAGGGACCCAGTGTCAATATCCCGGCCAGTTCCAGGCAAAAATGGGATATACCTTCTGTTTTCATGACGGTTAACATTGTCCGCATAGATAGCATACTCTTGGTCATCAAGTAAAAATCTATACAAGGAATTTGCAGAAGTAGGAGTGGTTGATGAAGATGATGATCTTTGTGACCCATCCAGTGTTGGTCCAGCTGAATCTTGTCTGCGAAAAGGAAGAACATCTGGTCTAGGTTTTCTTGTCTCTTGATGGGCTGCAGGGCTAACATGTAGGGATCCTCCATTAGATAAAAGTGATTCTGATGGATACTTTTCATCTGAACTACTAATGGTACTGGGACACTCTGATACTTGCTTATTTTGGTCATCTACTGTTATGGACCTGTTCAAATGTATCACTCTCATATTTGATTTTGTTGACTCCACAAGCTGTGGACTTGTTTTCTGCAGAGACACCAGTTTAGATGAGGAAACCCAGGACTTTGTTTCAATCTTACCTTCATCTTTAAAATCTTTAGATTTATTGCACACAGGAGATGGATAACTATTGAAATTCAAATTATTTTTTTCAGGATCATAGGGCTGCAAAATCTCAGGGTGTTTTTGAAAGTTCAAAAGATTGGAGGACTTTAATGTTCCATCACTAAAATCTGGGATTCTATTCTCTTCTTCATTGAGAATACTCTGCTTCAAGGTTTTAAGTGCACTGTAGTGTGTGTCATGCATTTCAGGAAATTTTGGTTCTTCACCAGTTTTCTCGCCCAGTTTGAGAGTAGAACTGTAGGTTGGTGCTGATCTATTAACTGTCTGAGATGCAACTTGTTGCCCATTTTCAGATAAAGGAGGATTTTCTGACAAATACCCTGCTTCAGTGTTGTTCAGCACTATGTATGGATGTCCATCAATTCCTTGGACCCGGACACTGACACCATAAGATCCTGGTTTGGAGTTTTGTGCGTTTCTAGCTTTTTGTGCCTCGTCACTTGCAAGTTTGAGATGAACTCCACAGTCCTGCTGCATGTGCTTGAAACCACCAAAGTATGGTTCCATGATTAACAAAGGTTTTCAGCTATGACAAAGTAAAAAATAAGATTTAATGTTAATTAAAATTTTAATTTTAATTAAAATAAGATTTCACAATACACTTATTAATACTAAATAAGAACATGAGCGTTTACGTAACATTTCCCAACTGTATATCTCAGGGTGCTATATACAGCCAGTGAGAACAGCAATTTAAATTAAAATAAAATGAAGAAAGTGAAAAGGGCTATAAGAAGTCACAAAGACGTTAGCAGATCAAAACAAAAAAAAACACACCTCTGCTTTTCACCAAGTGTTTCTTGCCCTATACCAAATCACCCCCTCAACTAAAATACTTCTAAATTTCCACTGAACACTTGAAGGTTTGACATTCCAGCTATAAACACAAACAACTCAGAGTACTTCTACCATTTTGCCAAGTACCATACTGGCAGAGGGATATATTTGTATTATATTGAAGAAGGCTGCTAAAAGATGTATGTATAGCAATCAGTTTATACTGGAAGAAAACCAAGTATCTCAGTCTAAATCTAAATCTAAAAAAAAAAGCCATCAACCTGTTTGAAAAATTATTAACATTTGCCATATAGAAGACACAAGTATATCAGTGACGAAGGGGGAAAACTTGATACTATGCATCCTTTTTTGTTGCATGAAAGCTAATTACTCTCAAGATATGATAATTTCTTCAGATTGTATGTCACTTTGAACTATTAATATGAAAATCTAAAAGCACCTGTGTAGTACTTAAAACCACTATGACTAAAATACAACTTTGATTACAGTTTACATCTGTCCTTAGCATAAATAAAAGCAACTCTGCTTACTAACTCCATAGCTGCTTTTCTGAAAAATTTCATTTACCAATATGTAAATATCGCTGAATTTGGAACTTGCAGATAAAATACTATTTCTATGAGCTATAAACAAAAGGGTTCTTTCCATTATCTAAAATACTTTAGGCACTTTTATTTATTATTAAGTGGCATGTGGTTAGATGTACCATATTTACTTGAATATAAGATGAGGTTCCCCCCACCCCCCACCAAAATCAGTACAGGGGAAAAAAAGCCTGTTATCTTACATTCACATACCAACAAACACCTACCCCCACTCCCCTCATTAGATATATTGGCTATTATTAAACTGCTGCTAGAAGCAGCATGTGCTCAGTCATGGAAACCGACTATGAAGCTGATTGAATACAACCCATGCTGAGCATGGCCACGAAAGACAAAGCCCATATAAGCAAACATACTGATGGGAATCTACCACAAGACTAGGTTAGTGCAGCCCATCTGAATAAGCTATAGTGCCCATTGTCTGCCATCTCTTGCAGCACCAACACTTTTTCAAGTCATGGTGAACTACTACATCAAATACATTTCAACTTCCTTTTCACTCCCATAGCTTTACAATGCCTCTCTTTCCCATTTCCAATTATTCCCATTTCCTCACAAGCCCTAGATGTCTGGCAGACATCGCCAAACTCTGTGGCCCCCTCTCTCAGCCTGTCGCGTGTGATTAATGTGGCCCAGCCCTCTATGGGGTAGAGACTGAGCAGGCAGCCCTGAGACTCATCTACATATAAATTCTTGGAGGGTTCTAGGACTTGTGACAAGAACACCCAGTTCCAGTCACAAGTGGGGGGCTAGTTAGCATGTTGATCCTTTGTGGCAGAGGATCTGGAATAAACACACATACTGAGCAGTGCCGGGCTGCAGGGTCACTATGGCTTGAAACACTGTCGACTCTGCTGGGGCCCAGCCGAATGAATTCTCTGATAAGTCAGGAGCTTTTTGGCTCTGGATTAATATCATGCACAGTTTGTACTATGTATAAGCAGGTGCACAAGTGGTGCTCAAAATTGTATTTATGAAGTACCTGTGCTGAAATTTGCAGCAATCAGGGTTAGGGTCAGAGCCAAACCCACAACAGTCTCCTGTTTCCTTCAGCACTTTTGACCCTCCTCTCTGTCCCTTTCACCCCTCTTACTGTCACATGCAGCTCACCTCCATATTGTGCTTGGGGTGGGAACAGAGCCTGAGCAGGATCTAACAATAATCAGGTGGGGGGTGGAAGGCTGCAGGGGGAAGAAAGTTGGGGGGGGGAACCTGTTTCTGCCCCCCCCACCCTCCCCGGCCACTATTTTCCCTGCTGTAGCAGTGTGAAAAGGGTGAATTCAGGACAAAAAAAAACACTCCGATAAATTAAATTCTACACCTGGAAAATTATAAAAAAAATCTATAAATTTTCCATGTATGGAATCTAATTATTGGGGGTCTGTCTAATATACAGGGTCATCGTATATTCAAGTACATACAATACTTCTGGTACACAAAGGTCATACAGGACAAAGTTCAACAACACAAGACAAAGCCAACAAGTTCCCATCAGCTAATAATAAGCACTTATTGCCAATAGCTCCTCAAGAATTAAAGATTTTCAAACATGAGCAAGTAATGTAATTCAAGTATCTTTTGCTTTAACAAAGCATTTATTCTGAATTTTACTAACTTACTTACTGGAAATTCACACCTATTCTGTACAAACTGGCACACTGCAACCAATATCAGTCCTAAAAAAAGAAAGAAGTCATGGGGTAAAACAAACTATGACTGTCTTTTTTAGGTAACTCCAGCATTATAAAGAACTTGAACATCTTCATGCTTCCCCTATTCTGCTTCTATCTGCTTGGTTTTCAACATTTGTTTTCAGAAAAGGAAATGCATCACTATTTCCCACAGCTTTGCTACCCTACATCCTGCAAAACCTCTGTCACAGTCAAACCTTTGGTTAAAACAAAAACAAAAAAACTTTAGATCCACCATCTCATAACCTACAGTGTCATAAATATTGTTCACCTATGACAAAAGGCATTCATCCAACAACCCTACTATTACTACATCGTGCCTTTGGCCTATTTCCAGAAAAACTTGTCACCACCACTTACTTAACTTTTTAAATTGCAGATTCTCTGATCAGCAGCAGAAATGGGAAGATACTATGAATATCCCCAAAGCTAAATATTTAATTATCAGCAGCAGCACCAATCTTGCTAACTCCAAGCTATGTATGCCGAAGCTGCTTTGATTTCAGGAAACATCAGCCTGTAAGGGCAATCCCTTTAAGAAGCTAGTATAAACACAAACATGTTGGATAGAAGTGGCCGATGGTTGCACGTGGTCAGAAGCAAAGGCTCCAAGCAGTAGCATAACAGAGTTGCCTCCCAGTTTACCCCTCTCCTTACTTTATTTATGAATAAAATCTAACCTGTTCCTTAAAGTTAGCTACATCTCCTGTGCTGATCCCATGAACAATACAGCCTAGTATTAATATGAATCTGCAGTACTAAAATCTGTAAAGAGCAGTTTCTTTTGATTTTATCTTCACTGTCTCTTAACAAGAAGTCCTTAAGGTCACCTACAAGAAGGATGCAGACAGCAGTCACAAAACAGACAAAGAATACCATATTTTTAAATCTGCCATGAGACAATGAACTGAGGGACGAATTTAAGTAAGACTGCTAATGTCAAAATGAAAAGAAAGATCCTGGCATAGGGCGAGTGGCACCTAAAAAACTTCACTCTATTATAAAAAAATTGTGCAACCAGGAGGCAAAGTGTCAGGCAAAGAGTATACAGGATGAGGGCAAGAAGGGAAGGAAAAGGCAGTAGTGTAACTAGGAATGGGCAACACGGGATTCCTTGGAATAAACAAATCTAGCTCCACTGACTCTCAGAATTGCCATCCTCTCTCAAAGATCCATAGCATCATCCTAAGCAGGATACTTTCAGGTCATTGTATATTTCTTAAAGCAACATGCCTATGGCATCAGCTTCAAATCAACTTATATTTATTAAAGTTTGCAGAAAACCTAATCCATAGATGCTATGAGGGTAACAGAATATATAAACCAGGGCCAAGTGAATGAAAAAAAGGGAACCTTGGACATTCCAAGAGAAACATCAAAAGATATATGTCAGAGATACAGGTTGTAGCCATGTTAGTCTACAAGCAAAAGCAATCAGAACTCTCAACAGAGGTGATCTCTTTTATTAGACCAACAAGAGAGTTGCAAAAAAAATCTTTACTTGCATGCTTTCAGGCACATGCACCGTTCCTCAGGCATAGGAGAGGGCAAAGATTGTAACATTTTCCCAGGTGGAAATGAAAATTCATATTTCACAGGAAAGTTTTTATCTGAGTCTAATTTGCATAAAATTAACTTTTCCAGCCAGGAGATCTTGCACCACCTTTCAGCTGTCCTGTGTAATAGGAATTTTCATTTCCACCTGGGAGAAATTTTACAATCTTTGTACTCTCCTATGCCTAAAGAAGGGCTTGTGTGCCCGAAAGCTTGCAAATAAAGATTTTTTTTGGAACTATCTATTGGTCTAATAAAAGAGGTGTCAGGAATTCACATGGCCAGAAGAGCTGTGAAATAAGGGCAAGATAAAAACTGAAGACTTTCATTAACTTCCTATGCTTCAGCAAAGACTGATCCCGCAGAAGTTATGAGCTTAGGTTCATCTTCTCAATGCCACACTTTCTCACCTTATCCAATCCAGCCACAGTTCCTGCTCTGCTACAGGTTGTCTTTGTCCTAGGGCATTGAGAACCTGCTTCATTTAGCAAATGCTGATCAATACAGCCTGGTTCCAGCCATGACAAGAGGTCAGCCAATGGTCCAAATGACAAAAACAAATCTATGCTCACTGAGCAAATTTTTCCTTGATTAAAATAATATTTGGCAAAACTAGCTATATATTCTGTCAGGTGCTAGCTTCGTTTCAATAAAGGGAAGTAAAACAGACAACATGAATTTGACTTCCTAGAGTAGGAAGAGCCATTGAACAATAGAAAAAGCAACAGTGAAAAGGGAAGGCTAAGGGAAAGACAAAAAAAAAAAGCAAGAAGATAAAACAATGGAAGGAAGTGATAAATACACATAAATTTCATTTTCTTGGGTTTCCATTCCATATGTTTCCCAATTATATTTCATCTTCTTTTGTTATTGGATAT